GGTCGCGGTGCTCCTGGGTTCCACCCCCCCCCCCCCAGCTGCTTCTGGTTCTCCACGCAAGACTCTGTGCAGCTCCGTGCCTCAGTTTCCCTCTCTAACAAGGGGACAGTGGCTCTGGCCCAGCTCCAGGGATTTATGCAAGCTCATTAATGCTGGCGAGGTGCCCTGAGGAGAGGCATCGTTCACTCAGGCCAATGCCCCGAGGGGCTAGCTGGGGCGCAGGCCCCAGGAATGGGCCTGGGGGCAAGGGGCGGAGGTGTGACTCTGGCCTTCCCCGGGGCGCAGCACAGAGGGGCAGAAGTGCCTCTCGGCTCTGTATTGTTCCTCCCAGGATTTCAACGGGAAAAATAAAACCTCAAAGCAAAGCCCTCCCGGCCCGGCGGCACTGTGCGAGGTGGGACAGAGCCGGCCTCCTGGGGAGGGCTCCCACGGACACGCCAGGGAACTCGTCAGAGCATCCCACCCGCTGGGCTCCGGAAATCACATCCCCCTCCCCCTGGCAAAGACCGAGCGCAGCCTCCCTGGGTCCTCCATGCTCAGCCCGCACAACACAAAGTTACGTCCCTCCGCAGCAGGCCCAGGGCCCAGCCGCCAGCCCCGGGCCCCTGAGGAGGCGAGCGGAGGGGACTGCATTTCACAGGCAGGCCCATTGTCTGCCTTCCCCAGGTCCTGGACCACTTAGGCGTTGCTAGGGCAACGAGAAGCCTTTGGATTTGATTACTGGAAATGGGGAGCGGCGAGTCGAGGGCTGAATTATTGATTAACATGGAGGCTGACACACGCGGTGGAGACTGGGAGAGGCGCCCGGCGTGATTTGATTACTGGAAATGGGGAGCGGCGAGTCGAGGGCTGAATTATTGATTAACGTGGAGGCTGACACACGCGGAGGAGACTGGGAGAGGCACCCGGCGTGATGAGAAAGCGAGTCCTGCGTGGCCGCGACTCTGGGTTTCCTGCCCCCTGCTCGGGGGGGTCGGGTCCCGGGGTCGGAGTGAGGGGCCGTGGCCGCCGGGCTGAGGGGGCGGCCTTGCCAACTGCAGTGAAATCCATTGCTAAATACTTCAACGTCCAATGGGGTTTCTCCATGCTCCCCGTGCCCCGCACCCGCTCCCTAGAAATGTGTCGGTGCTGGTCCAGGGCAGAGTCCGCAGCCACGCTGCTCCCGGGAAGCAGGTTTTAAACCTTCCTGGTAGGGAGTTTTGGGCTCCGGTTCCTGCCTCCTTCCCCCTTGACAAACACGCAGACCTCTCCCACCCATGGCCTGGCTCGCCCTGGCCTCCGCCCACGGCACAGCCCTCATGCTGCTCTGTCAGAGCACTTCCTCCTGATGCTGGCGTGATACAATCTGCTTCCCTGGCATGTCCGCCAGACACGCGCCAACACCATGGACACCGCACGCATGGCTCCTTCCTCCCACCCAGATGGGCCAGAAACAGAGGCCAGTCCCGAACAAGAGTGGCCAGTCCCGAAAGAGAAACGCAGCAGAGGGTGGGGTGGGAAGGGGTCACACAGCGATATCTCTCGTTTTTCCATCCATCTGTGGAATACATTTTGTTCTGTGCACCAAGGCATGAATGGATGTGCACCACCAGGAGAAACACACACTGCGGGCAGTCGGTGCTCTGCTAATCAGCTGGGTGGCACCTGATTCTCTCCTGAGTGGCCGCTCAAGCGCTCAGCTTACAGGGAACACCAGTGCCATGTCATTTGTCTAAAAAATGTGGCCAGGACCAGTCGCTCTCCTCTGTGCAGGGAGCCAGGCAGCAGAGAGCACAGGCCTCTGCAGGCAATGCGCCCCCTTCATCTCTGTACTGGGCCTAGATGGAGCCTTGAATGCTGGGACCTGTAGTCTCGACTCTGTGTTCAAAGGGACGGGTCAGCCCCTGCCCAGCCCCCTGCCTAATGTCTGTGGGGCAGCCCCCAGGGAGAGCTGGCAGACTGCCACCGACCGGCACGTGCCTGAGATTGCCTGTAGCATCTGGGAGAAGGGTGAATCCGGGAAGTAACCGGCACTTCCCTCTTGGATGGGCCTGGCCAGCGCAGGGCAGCTACCCCCACCCCTGGGAAACTTGCCTGGGAAGGGTAGCCAGCACCAGCTGCCCAGGGATGAAGCTGGCGCCTGCATTAGGAAGGTGCAGGATAAGGGACTGTCTCGACGTAGGGTGAGGTTCTGGAGTGGCCCAGGAGCTACGGCATTCACCGGGGGAGAGCAGGGTGGTGGGTTCAAGTCCAGCGCCTCCTAGGAGCAACCAGCACCAACTACCCCAGGGATGGAGCTGGCTCCTGCATTAGAAGAGGAGGCTAAAGGGTGCCCTGAAGGTAGGGAGGGGAGGGGAGGTCTTGAGAGACAGGAGCTCAGAGAGCAAAGGGGACAGACGTTTGCCACCACTTTCCCTGTGTCCCCAGCCCCGCCTCCTTTGCTGCTCTCCAATCCTTTGGAGGTGGGAGTCTGTGCACCCCTGGGAGTCCTGCCTGCCCCTCCCTCCCAGGCCTGGTGTGTTGACCAGCCTCGGGGGGGCTGCAACTGGTGGATTGGGGAGAGGGCTCCATCATTCCATCTTGGCTCCGAGCTTGTCCCTGCACCCTCTTCCCCGGCAAGTCACCCCTGATGCGTGTGCCCCCCACCAGGATCCCGCGTCCCCCACACAACAGCCTGAGCAGACGAAAGAGCTGAGCACAACCCCTCCCGGAGCCGAGAGCGGAGCCACGGCCAGCCTGCCTGAGACAGACAGCCTCAAGAGCCACATCCGGAGGGGCTCCTCTGGGTAAACGAGAGAGCCGGCTCCGGGGACGGAGCTGGCAGGCGACCGAGCAAGGGGAACAGCGTGGCTGAGGGCTCCGGGACCCCTGCGGCTCCGGCGCTTGACTGCAGCTACTCTGGACGTGAAAGGTCCGGGGCGGGTGCAGAGGCTCGCTCACCTGTACTCCAGAGAGAACTTGGTCAGCTCCTTGTTGTTGTGAAGCCACTTGAATTCCAGCGGCCAGCTGCCCTCCGCCATGCAGGTCAGGACCAGGCGGTTCCCTTCCAGGTGCACCTGGCTCCGGACGGGCTCCGTTTTGAAATACGGCGCGACGTCGTCTGCAAAGAGAGGCCAACATGAAACCCGCTGGCTCCCCCACACCCACCGCAAAACTGCCCCCTGCCCACGGCCTCACGGGTCTCCCACAGCCCCCCAGGAGTGACCCAACCTCTCACGATCAACCTCAGCCCGTCGGGGTGCACATGCCAGTCCCGCCGCCTCCCCGAGCGGCTGGCAGGGGCGTCCGTTGACTCCCACAGAGCAGCAGGGAGACGGGGGACGGCACCACGGGGCTGGCGTGAGTCTGAGGCCTCCTCCTGGCTGGCAGAGCCCGGACGGTGCTGGGCTCAGAGCGCCAGGATGACACAGTGGGGACGGAGGCCCTGGGAGGTGAAGAGCCTTGCCCAGGGCACACCGGGGCTCAGTGGCAGGGAAGGGAGCTGAGCTGAGTCCCAGCCCAGTGCTGCACCCCAAGGCCTGCTTCCCTCTCCCAGGGGTGCCAGGCCTAGGCACAGCACTTCTGCAGGGACCCCTCTGCCATTCTGGGACCCCCTGACCCACCACAGCCAGTCTCAGCGC